CTCGCTGTACCCCCTTTATATTCTAAATCAGGCCCATCCTCATGATGGCCAAGATCTTCTCTGGGTTGGCTTTGATGTCACGCTCGGAGATGATAAAACCCAGCAGCATACCCCTCGGGACCCCAAAAACACATTTCTCGGGGTTGAGTTTGATGCTGTTTGCTCGGAGTTTCGCGAAGGTCTGCTCTAGGTCGGCTATGACCTGGTCAACCCATTTGGACTTGACCACGATGTCATCTATGTAGGCCTCAACGGTTTGCCCAATGAGGTCACCGAAACACTTGAGCATACAACACTGATACGTAGCCCCGTGTTTTTTAGACCGAACGACATTGTGACGTAGCAGAATGATCCAAATGGGGTGATGAAAGACGTCGTGAGCTGGTCAGACTTTTTCATCGCAATTTGATGGTACCCGAAGTACGCATCAAGGAAGCAAAGGGTTTCACACCCTGAGGTTGAGTCGACTACTTGGTCTATGCGTGGCAAAGGGAATGGATCCTTTGGACACGCTTTTGTTGAGACCCTTGTAGTCAACACACATTCTCTATTTCCCACTCTTTTTCGTACAAGAACGGGATTGGCTAACCACTCGGGGTGATATACTTTCTTGATGAACCCGGCCCCCAAAAGCTTTGCAATCTCCTCGCCGATGGCCCTGTGTTTTTCCTCGTCGAAGCGACGCAGGCGCTGCTTCACCGGCTTGGAGCCTGGCCTAATCTTCAAGGAATGCTTGGTGACTTCTCTCGAAATGCCTGGTAGGTCCAAGGGTTTCCATGCAAAGATGTCTCTGTTGGTGTGGAGGAAGTCGCGAGTGCACTTTCCTATTTGGAGGAAAGCGTGGCGCCGATGCATACCACTTTGCCCTCAGAGTCGTTGAAGTCTATGAGGACCTCCTTGGTGCCCTCAGCAGGCTCGAAAGACCTGGCCGACCGCTTGGGGTCGGGTGCTTCTTCGATGACCTCCTCCCTGATGGCCGCAAGCTCTTTGGAGGCGACAATTGCCGCAGCGTGTTCGCAGCACTCGACCTCACACTCGTAGGCGCGCTAGAAGGAGGTGTCGATGGTGATGACCCCGCATGGACCCGACATCTTCAACTTTAGATAGGTGTAGTTGGGGACGACCATGAACTTCGTGTAGCATGGACGTCGCAGGATGGCGTGGTAGGTCCCGTAGAACCCGACCACCTTGAACATAAGGGTCTCCATCCTATAATTGGTCGGATTCCCAAAGGTGATGGGTAGATCGATTTGTCCAAGTGGCATGGCCTGTTTTCCAGGTACGATGCCATGGAAAGGCACCCTGGTTGGTCGGATGTGCGATCGATCGATGCCCATGGCATCGAGTGTTTTAGCATACATGATGTTGAGGCCGCTGCCTCCATCCATTAGCACCTTGGGGAGCCACTTTGTGCCGATGATCGAGTCGACCATGAGCCGGTATCTTCCCAGCTATGGGACGCTTTTCGGGTGGTTGGTCCGATCAAAGGTTGTGGCGGACTCCGACCATCGGAGGAAGGATGGCTCAGTCGGCTCGGTCCGTATAGACCTCACGGCGCGCCAGCTTCTGGCGGCACTTGGAGTCGTAGGCCGCTGACCCTCTGAAGATCATGAGGTAGCCATCCAGCATCAGAAATCCACCGTCCTTCCCCTCAGAGTCATCTACGGGCGGCTTGGGCTCCTTCCTATGCACCCCCTTGTTAGAGCCACCGGACAAGAACCGCTTCATGAGGACACAATCCTTGTATAGATGCTTGATGGGGAAAGCATGGTTCGGGCATGGCCCTTCAAGCAGCTTCTCAAAGTGGTCTAGGGTACCCTCGGTGGGCTTCCAACCCCCTTTGTGGTCGGCAGTGGCCACGAGCGAGCCCTCGCGCTGCTGCTTGTTCTTCTTCTTCTTGGGGCGGTTGGAGGCGCCTTTGCTGGCATCCTCGTCCCGCTTGGCCTTGCCTTTGGGGCGGTCAAAAATCACCCCAACCACCTCCTCGCCCGAGGCGTGGCTGGTGGCGATGTCGAGGAGCTCCTTGGTGGTTCACGGGCCCTTACATCCCAGCTTGTGAACTAGGGACTCGCAGGTGGTCCCGGACAGGAAAGCTCCTATGACGTCGACGTCGGCGACGTTGGGCAGCTCGTTGCACTGTCGGGAGAAGCGCCGGATGTACCCACAAAAAGTTTCCCCGAACTTTTATCGGTAGTTTTTGAGATCCCATGGGTTCCTAGGACACGCGTATGTGCCTTGAAAGTTTCCCATGAAGATTTCTTTTAGGTCCGCCTAATTTTGGATTCGGTTTAGCGGAAGTTGTTCCAAGCACGTTCGCATCAAATCGGCCAGTAACAATGGAAGGTTGCCGATAACAAAATTGTCACTATCAGCTCCACTGGCTTGGCAAGCAAGCCGATAATCCTTGAGCCACAATCCGGGGTTTGTTTCCCCAGAGTATTTTGGAATGCTGGTCGACGGTCGATACCGCGGTGGGAAGACGGCGTTGAGGATGTGTCAGCCAAAGGCCTGAGGTCCCTAGCAAGTCGGAGCTTGGGCTTCGGTCCTTGCCACTGTCGTAGTGTCCGCCATGATGAGGGTGGTAGCCGTGGCTAGCCTCCTCCCTCTCATTGCCATGGGCACGTCTGCCGGCATCCATGGTGTCGCGTGTGTCACGGTGGAGGCTGAGACGCTCATGCACCGGGACCTCGACGCGTGGCCTGCCGCCTCACTGTGCCTGGTGGACTGACACATCCTTGTCGGATCGCTCTAAGGGCGTGCGCTGGCTGGCGTCGAGCTCACATCGTTGGGACAGCGAGCTCTCAGCCTGCTGTGCCGCCGCATGCTCGAGTAGCGTGCAAATCTCGTGATAGGCCCGATGATCCTCGGGTGTCGCTGGCTCTAGAAGCCCCCGGAGTAAGGCCGCTACGGCAACGACGTTCTGGCTTGCCAGGGTGAAGTGTGGGGGGGCTTTGTCATCCTCGATGATCCTTCGGTTCACATCGCGGGCCACAGCATGCGCACGCCCACCGTCTCTATGGCGCTCGATCTCTCGCTCGAGCTCCGCGCGTTCCTTCTCGAGCTGGAGTTGTGCTTCTTCGAGCTCTTGGTGCCACGCCCTCAGCTGCTCTATCCGTAGGCGAGGCGAGGCCCCTGCATCCCCCTTGACCTCGTCGTCGAGGTTGTCTATTGGGGTAGCCCCTCCATCATGGATGCTTTCGACGTATCCCTCGGGGGTACCTGTCATGAAACATTCTCACGAGGGGTGGTGGCTCCCCCTGCTGGAGTCAGAGTTGGAGGGTGACTCCGATTCTCCCGCAGGGAGGTTGTGGAAAGATTTCACGATATATTCGGTCATCCCCATGAACTCATCGTTCATAGTGGATGGGGGCATGCGCTGCGCCACATGGTGGCCAACGGTCTCTGTGGCGTTACGCAGACCGAACGGGAGCGTTGTTGGCACGCCGGATGAGGCATTCCGGGGAGAGCGGCTCTCCTCCGGTAAGCTGCGCGATGACGTTGGCGAACGAAAAGGTGAGGCGACACAGGTCCTCCCGGGACGGTCGGGGTCCTAGGAAGGTGTCGAGCTGGCGCTTTAGCCTCCGTAATCGAAGCCAAGGAGCTGGTCACTCCCGGGGCGCGGGCCTCCGGTGCGTGCAGCTGCAGCTCCTCAAGCGCCTCGGCGATCGCGTTGAGGCCGGCGAAGTGGAGAGGCTAGACGGCGGCGGGAACCTGCATCAACTCTCCCTCCGTCGTAACGATGAAGTCCAGGTTCTCAAAGCGCGCGCGCGCGCCGGATCCAGCTGACGCCATGACTAGCCATCCGAGGCCTGGTGTGGACGTCGAGACGTGCAAAAAGCCCCTACCTGACGCGTCAACTGTCGGTGTTTTTGGACCCCTTTTATAGGCGAAGGAAAAACGCAGGTTACAGAGGAGGAAAAGGAGAAGAACGAGAGAGAGAAGAAAGCTTCCAGGTCCTTCTTCTCCTTCATGCGGGTCTCGCCGATCCTGTAGATGTCAACAGGGACGGCTCCATGTCGTGCCCTGTTCGTCACTGGCGCCATACACAGGCGTCATCTGCCGATCATGGCGTTACACTCCTTCCCGGTGGACGTCGCGGTGAACTGACACGCCTGCCAGCCTCCGTCCGAGGATTAGGCAGAACAGTACCGGCACGCCCGACACTGCTCTTGATGTGAATCGCCAGGTACGGCCCGTCATGGCCACGGGTTACATCGAGGCATGACAGCTTCTTTCTTGGTGTCAGAGTTTTGACCCAAGCCCATATGCTTGGACCTGGAGTGGTTGGCGGTGGTATGGGTCCCCGTCGGACGAGACGGAACCCGCGTCCTTAGGGTCGAGCGAGACGGAGCCCGCGACCTTGGGCGAGACGGAACCCGCGGCCTTGGGGTCGGGCGAGACGGAGCACGAGCCCAAGGGGTCGGGCAAGATGAAGCCCGTGGCCTTAAGATCGGACGAGACGGAGCCCACGCCCAAGGGGTCAGGCGAGATGGAGCCCGCGACCTTGGGGTCGGGCGAGACGGAGCATGAGCCCAAGGGGTCGGGCGAGATGAAGCCCGTGGCCTTAAGGTCGGACGAGACAGAGCCCACGCCCAAGGGGTCGGGCGAGACGGAGCCCGACGGCCTTGGGGTCCGGGCGAGACGGAGCCCGTACCCAAGGGGTCGGACGAGACATTTTAATACGTCTCGAGCCATCTCGAAGAGTCAGCGTGGGCGCTAACTTCCTTGCTTTGGAACTAATATTGCCCTAGCTGTCAGATGGAAACGATGGGAAGAAACAGTAGGAAGCAGTGTTGAACAGTAGAAATAAATGGCGTGAGCAGTGCCGAACAGTGGATGAACAGCGTCAGATGGCCTGGCTGTCCTCGGATTTTAAGTTATTATTTGTAATATAATATGGCGAAATGGTGCTTTTGTAGTTAGAAATAGCTGCAGTATATAGATGCACCGTTCAATCGCTTGAATTGTACATACAGTATATAATTCGCGCGCGCGCGCAGATGAGCTGATCAAGACCGCCAAGTACCTCGCAACGCCGGGCAAGGGCATCCTGGCCTCCGACGAGTCGACGGGCACCATCGGCAAGCGCTTGTCCAGCATCAACCTCGAGAACGTGGAGTCGAACCGGCAGGCGCTCCGCGAGCTGCTCTTCACGGCGCCCGGCGTGTTCGACTATCTCTCCGGGGTCATCCTCTTCGAGGAGACGCTGTACCAGACGACCTCCGACGGGACGCCGTTCGTGGACGTGATCCGCGCCGGCGGCGCCGTCCCGGGGATCAAGGTCGACAAGGGCACCGTCGAGATCGCGGGCACCAACGGCGAGACCACCGCGCAGGGCCTCGACTCCCTGGGCGCGCGCTGCGCCAAGTACTACGAGGCCGGCGCGCGCTTCGCCAAGTGGCGCGCCGTGCTCAAGGTCGGCCCTTCGGAGCCCTCCGAGCTCGCCGTCAGGCAGAACGCCGAGGGCCTCGCGCGGTACGCGCTCATCTGCCAGGAGTTCGGGCTCGTGCCCATCGTCGAGCCCGAGATCCTCACCGACGGCGGCCACGACATCAAGACCTGCGCCGCCGTCACGGAGCGCATCCTCGCCGCCGTCTACAAGTCGCTCAACGACCACAAGGTCCTCCTCGAGGGCACGCTCCTCAAGACCAACATGGTCACCCCCGGCTCCGATAGCCCCAAGGCATGTCGCCATGATCGTCATTCTTGCAGTCTTTTACTACCAGCCCATGCCCGATCATCCTATCATTCATGGATGCATATATCTTCAGGTTGGCGCGAAGGTGATAGCGGAGTACACGGTGGCGGCGCTGCGGCGCACCGTGCCGCCGGCGGTGTCCGGGGTCGTGTTCCTGTCGGGCGGGCAGAGCGAGGAGGAGGCGACGCAGAACCTGGACGCGATGAACAAACTGGAGGTGCTCAAGCCCTGGACGCTGTCCTTCTCCTTCGGCCGCGCGCTGCAGCAGAGCACCCTCAAGAAGTGGCTCGGCAAGAAGGAGAACGTCGCCGCCGCGCAGGCCACCTTCCTCGTCCGGTGCAAGGCCAACTCCGAGGCCGGGCTGGGCAAGTACACCGGCTCCGGCGCCGGGGACGCCGCCGCCTCTGAGAGTTTGTACGTCAAGGGGTACAAGTACTAAGGCGCCACTGCCTCACCAGTGGAATCCACCAATCCTTGTGTCCCACGTGGTAGCGCTCAATTATCTATGTCCTACATGTGTGTTTGTGTACTAAAAATTCTCTTCCCTTCGTCCGGCTCCTATTTGAGCAAAAAAACACGTTGATCTATTTGCAGCTCCCAATGTACAGTAGTATTACTGGAAGATAAGTGCAATATATGGATGTGACCAGACCATCTTACTGAAGCTTTGATTCTACATCCTCTAACAGAGTATCTATATGAAAGACCCATTTTAGATGTCAAGAGAGGTATAACCCAAATCTGAGTATCTCTCTCCTAAAGACCCATTTACAGAAATGGTTCTTTTTTAGTCTTATTGTTGGAGAAGACAAAAAATGAGTATTGAACACTTTTGCTTGTAGCGCTACCCAAACGTGAAATGAGTCTTTTATTTTGGGTAACGATTATTGGACTGCATACAAAATGCATATTCCAGAGCTCAGAAATGCCAATATTTTTACTTCACAATATCCATTATCTCATCCAGAACTTTCCTGCTGTTAAACTTATTTACTTAATAACAAAAGATATAAAGGAAAAGGAGGGAAAATATGTACATTATTTTCTGGTGCGTTTTCTTTTGGCATAAGTACTGTAGCGAAACAGTGACACCAGCACTATAACTAATAGTAGTTCTTATATGCCAGTGCAGTAAGACTAACATACCAATTACAAAATGAAGCACAATAGCAACAAAGCTGGTTCTGAACATTTTGCAAGGGAGTATGTTCCAACATTTTCCAATCCACAGGCTTCAAAATCAGTAGAGCCTGATCCTTGTGGTTATGTGCTGCTGGCATAGAGGGCAGCGCTCCAAATTTTCCCCGCATTCATAGCAAGTCTGTATGCACATGTATGTTAACAGCATAGAATGCACAACAGCAAATGTCTAGTAAGAACATAGAGTATAGTTGGCTAAAGGTTCCCGCACCTGATGTCCACATCCAAATGCAAGGTCCTTCGATTTATACATGCAGATGGGGCACATCTGCAGGTAAAGTGCGTCAGGCCTCTTAGTTTGTAGTGCACAAAGAACATATGGTGTAGCGCATATTTCATCAGTAGATAGAAACTCAAAACCTCGAATACCCTTTGTTTCAGTATTTGGAAGTCATTATTATGGCCGCAGAATGCAAATATACATGTCCAACAACTTAACTACAATAGCAAGCTTATGACTATTATGGTTGGTAGATCAATGGAACATAAAAAGTTACAAGTGAACTGAGAAAAAGTCAAATTAGACTAGGCATCGTACTCTATGGTAGAAGTTAAAGCAACAAAATGCAAGGGCCCATATAAATAATCCTAATAAGATGCGAGAGCACAGCTAAAGATCAAATCTCCAGTATTGCAGTTTAGCTTTGCATTTGGGCATGAAATGGTGGAGGATGGTCAAAGTAAGAAAGATATACGTACAATTCTGTCCTCTAAAGCTCTTTCTGATGCATAAGTGTCAGGTCTCTTTGGGGCTGCAGGCTGCTGCTGTTTCAAGCTCTCCGAACGTTGTTGAAAGCCACTTGTCTGTTGGTCAAAGCTACTTGATCGCGAATAAACACCAGACTGTTGGCTAAAGCTAGTAGACCGTGAATAAGCAGTCCTTGTTGGTGGTGGCAGAGCAATTCTTGGAGTTATTCTTTGGCGGCGGCTGAAGCAGTAGAAAAAAAAAACAATAAAGTGATCAAATAGCACATTATTGCCCAAAGCTCAAAAGATAGTTCTAATGATGTCAGTATAGTATTGGGAAGCTATATTAGATACCCTAAGAGTTGGAGATCAAGTGTTGCTTTGTACTGTGTAGGGATTTCCATCAGCGCTGACAATGCAAATTCTGCCTCCTTTCTGTCAGCTGCTATGCTCTTTGACATAATCTCCGTGAAATTCACAAACTGCATAAAATGAAGAATTCTTCCATGCATATTAATTTTTTGAACAAGAACATTTTGTTGTGTATTATAAATAATCGGTAGAACAATCACCTGGAAATTGTCAAATGACCGAGCAGGTATATTGTCATCAAACTGGTGCATCATGTCCCATGGTCCATCACCAACCCCGACAAGAACAATTGACAAGGGGAACTGGCTGATTTTTTTAAAAGATAGATGTTATTCTGTGTTTGCCTTATTGTGACAGCAGACAAGGTACAGCGTGAAGGTATTATTTTCAAAGCCCCAATAAGATACAGTACCTTGCTCTTACTATTGCATCAATAGTGTCCCGCTCCTGTGGACTTAATTGTCCAGATTGTGTATCGACACTTCGGGTAACCTATAACCAGAAGTTTTATCAAAGCGAAAAAAGGATAAACAATCAAAATGTTACACTAGAAAAGAGCTTTGCTGACAACCACTTAATGATAAGAAATAAGAGGTGACTAAAATCCTTGTATATAAAACTCTCCCTCTTAATTGATAGGCAGAGCTCCTGCCCATTTGCGTTAAAAAAAACAGGTGACTGAAACAAAGGCAAAAACAAAATTATAATGTGTTTGCCAACCTGTCCATCCGCGATTATCAGAAGAACATGATATTGACCACCAGTGCTGTCAACAATTCCAATTGCTGTCTCAATTATTGGAGCGAAAGATGTAGGTCCTGTTACAAAATTAAAACTATACATACTTTAGCATGCACTTCTCTCCCTGATAAACTACTAAAATTTTAGCTACCATGCTTTAGACCTTTAGTACCATGTAATAAATAGCTAGTTACAATATGAGGTAAAATAGCAGCTCTGCTCCTTTTCTCTCTTTTATGAAAGAACAAACTTGGTTTTGGTTCAGAAAAAAAAAACAAATGAGAGAGAAAAGCCATCTATATTAAATCTTCACTAAATAAACCTGCTAATCGAAGAGTTGGAACAATTTCTCTGTATCTGTCTAGTGCATCTTCAAATCCGTTGCATGGGTGGTTCTCTGGGTAAAAGCTGAATACCTCCTGATCATGAGTTGATGCTGCTCAGAAGAAAACAGAAGCACAAGATCAACACTGTGCTTTAAACATGTTATTGAAAACTCATCAAGTGATCGTCAGAAAAAGGCAACTAAATGATTACCGTCACCAAATCCGAAGCAGGGAATCAAATTATCTTCATCAAATGCTGAAAGTGTCCTTCCAATAATAGATATAGCTTGCTCATATGGGTTTGGAGTGTTTCCAATATCATGCAGGCAGCGGCGATTAAAGGAAATTTTACCTAACATAGACTTTTTTGTAAGTTAAATGAAAACTGAAAAGTATTATGATCCAACATGGAACTTTTTTTTGCATGTTTAAACTGAAAAAAAGTATGATTCTACAATTGTTGTTTTCATGTTTAAACCAAAAAGTAGTATCATTGAACAACAAATAAAGGCGTCAATTATCAGATCAAAGCAACATGAGTTTTGTTGAGGCATCCTTTCTATAGTGAGACAATACTAATTGTTAGCTTATCCTTTTCTTTTGAAGAAGTCCTTTCCCTAACATGGTTTCCTTTAAACAACAGAAGGGAAGTTAGCATGACACTATCATTACAGGTAAAACCGATGTGTTCAATAATAGTAAACCACAAGCTTTGCCATATAGGCAAAGGCAACTAGATCTGAAAAGAAGGTTTGCCCCCAAAACCAGGCAAATCAAGAAATAGTCTGGTAGCTTAGTGTCTAATGTGTACCAGTGCAGCACAGAGTAGACATAGAGAAGCACAAGTATGCATCTAATTAAGTTAAAAAAAAGGGAAATGTCATCTGCTAACCTGTCCATTCATTGCTCTTTGTAAAATCAATGCCTACAATAAGATTTGAAGATTCAAGACCTGCTTGTGCCAAAGCTTCAGTCACCTGTAACAGTACAGAACCATAGAAAAATTGGTGTAGTTACAACCTCAGGTTCACAGTACTCAGAGAGGAGATAGTGCGCAAGACTGTAATAGATGTCCTATCTCACTGGGCAGTGAGCACTGAAGGAACTGAAGCAAAGTATGAAATTGAATACAGTGACAAGCATACAATCTTCATATTACTTAATACATGGCAGTAACAAGTAGTGAAGAGAGTGCGGCAATACAGCCCTTGTAGGAATATTTTTTAAACATAGTTTCTTCCAAAGTTCACAAAGGATGATTGAACCAAAAGATGAACAGTGCCATTCTATAGATAAGAGAAGCAGTAAAAGACGAGGCCATGCCATTGCCATCAAGACATACCTGACTCAAAGAACCATAGTCATCCCCAATCCTGGAATACTTCCTCTGCAACCTTGCGGTTGTTTCTGGCTGTACATTGTTCTCTGAAGAAGGTGCATACCTCGAGCTATAAGTGGAGGACGTATTTCCAGTGTTTCTCGAGTTATATCCCGATGAAGTACTCCCGTAATCATAAGAGTAGCCATATCCATATGAAGGCTTGGAGTCCTTTTGCCCCATTCCTCAGCTTGTGCCTCTGGACGAGGCCAACACCCAGATGCGCTTCCTGGTAAATGAGGGACAGAAAAACATCAATGAACTCAGACACGAAAGTAACTGGAATGATTCGCCAAAAAAAAAGGTATCCGGAATAAAGCATGCAGTAGCTTATTTAGGAAAAACAGCTTTCTCAATAATTTTCAACGGAACTTTACCCATCAATTTACAAGGAAACCTTTTGAAAGATGCCTTCATGGATGGGATTCCGTTGCCAATAAGGCATACTTCCTAGGAGTACCCTACAGCATCATTTACCTCTTTCCATGGCCAAAAAATTTATTTTTCGAACTTTCCATGGCCAATATGCCATATCGAGTATCGACCATCATAATAGATTGAGAAAAAAAAAACGTGGGCCAGTTCCTATACAAACATTGACGATATCGAAGGGCGGCTGAATGAAATTCGATTTCGGCATGTCATATAATAAAAATCAAATACTAGTTAGGAAGGAACACAGGACGAACTCACCACTCCACCAGACTCGATTTGATCCAAAAACCGCCTAAGCCAACCGACAATTCGGCGTCCTCGCCAAGAGGAAAGAAGAAGATATGATGCCGGAGGGGATGAGAGAAGTGGGTACTGGGGAGGGGATCAGGGGAGGTGGGTGGATTGGATGAGGACAAACTGCTGGCGTGAGATATCGGGACCGCGTAACAAGAAAACCAAAGCTACTCCACAAGATCCGACCACCGAATCAGCAATCCACGTGGGGCTCGGGCTCGGGCTCACTCACCTCCGCTCCGCTCTTGTCCCGCGCCGTCCAGGAACGCGCGCCTCCACTCCGCTCCGCTCCGCTCCGCGACGAGGACGAGGAGGAGGAAGAGGAGGACGGGAGTGAGGTGGGCAGCGCACCGGATGAAGCGAGGCGCAAGGGGGTGGGCAGTCACACCGCACCCGCAGCGGATAGCAGACTATAATCGGAGGAAAAGCCCACGGTGAAGTGAGGTCAAGTCAATTGCTCAAGCCGGAGGAAATGCAATGCAATACTGCGGCGGGGGAGGTGGAGTGGTTTCTTGTCCGCCGGGTCTCTGACCCCGCTGCTGGGAAAACGACGCACGACGGAGGAAGCTTCGGCGCGGGAGAGGGGAAGACGATGATTTGGTAAAAGGGCAAAGCTTGTCGCGATCACCAGCACGAGCTCAAAACGTTTGCTGGTGAGTGGTGTTACTGGTGAATCATTATCCACTGACAGAAAGTCAGTTGCGAGCTGCATTAAAAGCTCGGCTCGCGATAAAGCTGTGAAGCTCGATTGAGCTCGGATTGAGCCTTATTTCGAGCCGACCTCGAGCTTATTTCTGGGCTCGCGAGCCCAATCGAGCCGAGTTCGAATGGTTAAGCTCGTCAACTATTATTATATCATGTATTTTATATGTTTCTATTAATTCATTATAAAATTTTTACTAGTATTATATTTTTCTGATCACGCCATGGCATATTTTTCATTAGAAGTAGTAAATAGAGTATAAACCGTCTCCTGAGCCGAAGTCGTTTTTCTGTTAGGAGAGGGAGTTGTGAAAATATGGTTTCTTCTAAGAGCTTATTTGGTTCGGAAATGATAGAACGCCGACGTCCGTCCCGTCCGGATGTCTTGCGCCTGGGCCTGCGGACCAGCCGGCCTAATACACCTCGTGTCTGTCCCCTTCCGTTGCTCCTGCCATCCGTCTCGTGCTGCTGCTTCTTCTCTCGTCGCCCCCTTCCTTTGCTCCTACCGCTCGCCCCGCGCTGCTCCTGCTCCTCCTCCGCCCTCCTTGCTGCTCCTGTCGATGCTTCGTGCGCCCACCCTGCTGCTCTTGCCGCTGCTCCTACTCCGCGTGCCCGTCTCGCTGCTATGCCGCCCGCCCGGCCCAACGACACCGACAGGCGCCGCTAGCGCAAGGAGAAGCGCCATGCCCTGGCACGGAAGCCCTCCAGCCTCGCCTGCTGCTACGGCTGCCGCGCCTCGATGCAGACAGCAAAGGAGACCGCACCGGGATATGATGCATGTTGCAAGCTCACGTTTCAAATGTTTAAGATGTTTTAAGGTATGTTGTAAGTGTTTCATACGAATGTTGCAAAAGTAGATCGGGATGTTATATATACTGTAATGGTTATACACGTATGTTGCAAGAGTCTGTCTCCAATGTTTCATCTATTTTTCAGACGTATATTGCAAGTGTGCTTATTTGAATGTTGTATATATTTTCACACATATGTTGCAAGTGTCTTATCTAGATGTTGTGTATGTTTGCAATGGTTTTTAAATATTTTTAAAAGTGTTTCAGACGTATGTTTCAAATGTTTCGTCTGTCTTTTTTGTATGTTGCAAGTGTTGGATCCGAATGTTTTAAAAGTAGATTGGGTGTTGCATATGAGATTGGGAAGCTGGAGGGGACACGAGCGGTCCCCGGTGCCCACGGGCGCGCGCCTCGATCGACGTTCGGCGACGCGGGCCCATGCGTGGACGTGGAAAAACGGACTGCAACTATGGGCGTCCGCACACTGGCGTCCGTTCAAACGTCCGGACGCTAGCAGTGTCGTATTTGGTTGGCTTCCAATTCATACCCAACCAAAATCATAGCAAAAGAATACAATTTTATAAATATGGTTTCTCTATCCAAAAAAATATTATTATAATTTTGCTCCAAATCAAGCCTTCTAAAGTTTAATTAAATTTTATAAATGAATACTCGTAGTTATGGTCGTAAATAAGTATCAGTAGATTGGTTTTTTCATCAAATATGTTTTCGTAAGTATTTATTTGAGTCATGTACTCGTATCATTTAGTACCCATTTCTAAAATTTTAAGTTTGACTTAGGATGAATTAAAATTGCTTTCTTTTAGGACGGAAGGCAGTAGCTAATAACAAACCTATATGTTATTTATTCTTTATTTTTGTTTTTCAAGATTAAACTTGTTAAGTTTCCCTTGATTATACAAAGCTACTAAGGGGCACTCTGGATGAGCTAGGGCCAGTTCCAAGTTAAGGCTAAAAATTAGCTTAAGTTAGCTAAGGCTAACTAGTTAGCTAATAACTAGTTGATGGCTTGTCTAAACAATTAGCCTCACCTATTAGCTCTCCTATTTTGATGCACTATGGTTAATTTTAGCTAAATTTTATGTAGCTAGTAATTAGCTCTCGTATCCACACAGACCCTCCCTAAGTATCGATGATGGACTTATGACACCTTGTTTCGTACCATTTTTCTGTAACCCTTTTCCTTCTAATAATGAGGCAAATATCGTTGGAGACTAAAAACTAGAGAACCAAGTGTGGGCTTGAAAAGTGCATCTAGCCCTTTAGTGGGTTTTGAAAGATTGAATGACAACGTGATTAATGGTCTAACTTGCTTGCTAAGCGTTGGACAAAAAATGGGTTATCTCACAAGTACTTGATGAAAGCCAAAGTGATGTGTTGTTGTATAAACAATCTATTTCGAACACAAGACAACAATGCAAATAAAATTCATGCAAGGCTTATTCACTGTGTGATTTCTATGAGTTATGATAAAGTAAGCACGTTGAAGAATTGATTAATGAGAGATAAGGGATTGCATATGGAATGGTCTCATATTTGAAGCTTGCTAATTTGAAATGAAAAGACTTCTATACAAATGAGCTTAATGGTTGATTCAACATAAAGTGTGACTTGATGGCTTGAGATGGTGAAGATAGCAAGGAAAGGCTTCGAGGTACTAAGCAAGGGTGAAGGGCAAGCGATGGCTTGGCTACCGAAGAACCTAGCTAGGGTGAAGAAGGAAGTACTTACATTTAGTTGAGGTACTTTTTTTGAGCATGCATTTAGTCGAGGTACTAATCAAACTATGATGGTCACATTAAAGTGGAGGATCAAATACATTGGATAATTTGTTGAGGTTAACTCACATTTATTGAATGAAATCAAGTCACATGCTCAAGATGGCTATGCTCAAGAAGAAAATCAAAGATTGACATGTTGACACCCTCACTTGATGAAGATTGAGAGCTATGGCATTTGGTTTGAAGAAAATCAACTCAAGAGGTTTAAGCTTCATTTTCATTTAATCTTGAGTAAATAGGTATGCCGTACTATTAAGAGGGACGCATCATGTTGATAGATGATTATTCATAAGTGCTCAAGCCAACCCATGTGAGGTTTGAGTGAGAGAGAGACACAAGAGCTAACTCACCTTCCTGTGGCCGAGCCTACCAGACATGTCCGATATGCCTACCGAACATGTTGTTGTGTAGCATCATGGTCACAGTGACTTCTTCTATGTTCTCAAGTTTGGTTCATCGAAAGTTCTAGCAAGGGTCGGGAGTTTCAAATGTCGAAAGTCCCGGCGAGCGTCAGGAGTTCTGACACCTCGCACGCTTTTAACTCTCTAACTTTGGTGCGGTGCAAGTCATACCGAACATGTCTGATATGCCTACCGGACATGTCCGGTATGCATGTCCAGAGCCCAATGGCTAGAAAACGGCTAGTTTTTTAAAAGGGCTATAAATACCCCCGAGCCTCCACCTTTGGAGGCTACTAATTCTGCTAGTTCCCATACACATTTTTTAGCCTTGAGAACACTCCCCAACCCTCTCTTAGTGAGTGATTGATTCCTATTGCCAAATCCAATTTGTGGGTTGAGTGAGATTTAAATTTGAGAGCAAGCCACCCTTGAGCACTTGTGCATACTTGTCGATCTCGTGATTCGCATTAGTTACTCTTGGACTCTTCGGCCCTAGATGGCTAGGCATCACTAGAGAGCATCCAAGAGATTGTGGTGTGCCTTGGAAAGTTTGTAACGGTCGATTCCACCGCCGTAAGGGAAGGGATCAACTAGTGAAAGGAGAAAAAAGGAGTTGGAAAAGACTCCAGCTAGAGTGGACCTTCGTCAGTCCTCTAGAGTTGACCTTTGCTGGTTCGCTCACAGCCCCCCCAATAGAGAGTAGGACTCGACGGAGTCCAAACTTTAGTAAAACAAATATCGTGTCTCAATTCTCTCTC